GGGAACCGGTCTGTATGTGGGATCCGAACCCTTGGGCGGGAGCGCCGCCGCGCTTCCCAAATGGCGCACTTATCCAGTGCGCCACCGGGACAGCCCAATCATATACTTTTTTTAGTCTTTGCAGAGTATTACATATCTCCAGAGGATTTTCGTCTTGTTTTGTTTTATTTTTCCTTTTTTGAGGGCAGCTGACCAGTTTGGGGATCCTAACCCTTGACCTTGGTGTTATAACACCATACTCTAAGCAACTAAGCTAACTGGCCAGCCTTTCCAGAGGTTTTTTTTTTTTTTTACTTCTTATTGATAATTTTTGTTTTTAAGTAAAAAACAGAGATAATGATGAGTCTGTACTGCAGACTTAAAAAAAAATAATTGTAATTTCATTTGAAATTTCTCATCCAAAATGCATGAGATAGTTCTTAATGGGACTTAATGGTTAAAAAAAAGAAATATATGCATATATTCATTAAGTAAGCATATATTAAAGGCTAACCATTTAGGAAGAAATAAAAAACCCTCTCTCACTTCTCTCCCTCTTTTTATATGAGTACTCCATTATCTTGCTTTTCTCTGTTCACAGTGGTGTGTGAATTTCTTATGCCAACTGAGATGACATTAATTTATGTTTCACCTTAACTCTGGAAAAAGAAATACTAGATAATGTTTGTGTGTATTATGGCAAACTAAGAGCTACATGTTAAAATCTTTGTAATAGAAAAAAATTGATGAGGAATTGCTTCTGGTTAAAATTATGTAATATTTATTTAATTGAAGCTATTTTTCTATTCAGATTTTGTAATTGCTGCAGTATTCTAATACAAATTTTTTGTGAGCAGCATTCTATAATGCAAAGGGGTAAGCATAAAAATATAAAGGGAATTTTGTGAGGTGCTTGATAAATATAAATTTAGTGACAGAAATTCTGATCAGAGATATATTTTTCTCAAAACTATACTGCCATATGTTTGATGCCAAATGAAGCATGGTTTGTAAAACAGTGTCATGTTCTAAAGAGTTTGGGTTTTATAACAAGCATAACTATGTTTATGTTATTTTCTCAAATTTTGTTTGTAGCTACTATTTCCAACTAATGTGTGGTAACATACAGGATGATCTGCAGGAATGCTAAGAGAAAGTTTAAATATAAATTATTATTTTTTTAAATCTAGTTATAACGAATTTTCAAAAGCATTTAAAGTTCGATAGAGCTAATTATGCAAGATACAATGGTCATAGTTAATAATGCCTATCATAAAATTCTTCACAGATTTTTTGTCTACCTCACTTTTTTCTCTCATAATCTACCCAAATTATTAGACAACAAAGAAAGAAAGAAAATGCAATAATCTAATATGCAAAGTAGGAGATTGCCCTTTTGGTAACATCACATCTCCTTAGGCAAATTTGCCTTAAATACTGAACAAGTTTTCTATAATTAGCAGTTATCCTACTAAATATATCATTACTCAAATGCTAGACTACAAACCTGAAATCAAACAAGCTTACATGCTCCATTTCTGATTCTTGAATAATTGCTCCTGTCTGTTAAACTCCATGCTTTGGCCAATAATACTTGTCTGCCTTGTACAAGTAATGATTTGTATTGTTAAACAATCAAATGATATGCTTCCTTATTCTTTCACAAGGAAAAGTATTATCCAACTCTTACAGGTGCTAGATTGAGAAGACAATATAGCATTGTAAATAACAGTATTGGCTGTGGAGTCAGAAAACCATGAGTTTCAATTCC